GGCAGGCGTAGGATCACGAATCAGTATATGAGGTCCCTCTTTAGATTCTCCGGGAACACTTGGCCACTTATCTGTGCCAATTTGGTCATATAGTCAGTGCTTCCTCTGACGATCTGAGCGGGGATGGAGCTTCAAGTTAATGGTTTATCGTAAGGCCTTCGTCTCCATTCCCAACTTCCTGGATGTAGATGGCCAAAAGATGGTTATTATAGTCACAAGTCGAAGACCGGCTTGCTGGGAGTGTGGACAGGCTGGGCACCTTTCCTCTTCCTGTTCAGAGATAAAGGCCTCTGGAGTGCTGTCGCCCGCCGACCCAAAACCCCCTATGGCCGAGTCTGTTGTTTCCGTCTCGCCTGTAATGGTCATGACAACAGCCGGGACCGGTGCGGTGAATCTCCCGGTTGGTTCCGTTTCACTGCCTCCATTCCCCCAAAAGCCTTTGCCCGCCGCTAGTGTGGTTGTGGAGTAGGAAAAGGGGGAATGGCAGGTTGTTGGTAAGGCTAGAGGGAGGCTCCGGGTGGCGGGTTCTCGTCCCACTGAAGTCCCAACGGGTATCGACACAAACAGTCCCACTCCCTCTACCAGTTCTAAGGGCAACTCCCCGACCAGCTATTTTGAAAAACTCCGACAACAAAAACAAAAGCACGAGCCATCTTTTGAGAAAGCCGAAAAACTACAACAATTAAAAGAATCTCTAAAACAGAGATGTCTTGTAAAAAAATTTGGACCTAACTCCTCGGCACCGTCTTCCCCTTCAACAAAACAACACATCATGACCCCTCCTCCAGTCCTGAGATCCTCATCTCCCTCTCTCTCAAAAATGACAACATTAAAAAAGGCCCCCATCACGGTTTCACCTTCTAAGGACGATCTTTCAGTTTCCACTATCGCTATTAGCCCCAAACAATCCCCGGTACGCCTAAAAAGACCGACAATCCCAAAAGGCAAAGAAGTCCTTCATCGGAATCCATAGATTCTTCATCACAAGAAAAAATCTAAACCCATCTTTAGCACAAGGGAAGACGTCTACTGGATATCCAAACAATTGGAGGACAAGGCACTATCTTTTTCCTTAAAGCGAAAAGTGTTTTAAATGTTGGACGAGGGGGTGAACTGCTCAACAAATTTGGGCCATGATCGCAGAGGCAAATAGGTGTTTGGAATGTTTCCGCCCATGACATGTTTTGACAATTAAACTAAAAAATTGCCACAATTTTGTTCAGGGAGATTCCTGCTTTTTATTCACCGCTCTCTGTATAGAGCTTTAAAGCTAACCTCCCCTCTGGACATTGGTGGCCTCTCTCCGACGGTACCATGAAAACTGAGATGGGTACAGGTTCGATGGGAGAGGCCGTCGGTGTCCTTTCTCCGTCCATGTTTAATGCAGGAGAGCAGTTTCATTATGGCTCTCTGGTTAGCTAGCGTGAATGTCCGAGGCTTGAGGTCGGAGTCTCGCAGGACGGGGCTCTCTCGTGACCTTCAGCGCCTCGGGGTGAATGTTTGCTGTGTACAGGAGACCCGGTTTTCTACTCATGACTATGAGGACATTCTGTCTAAAGTGATCTCCCTCTATTCAACATCTTTTGATGGTCGTTCGAGAGGTGTCTCTTGGCTGGTGAGCAAGTCTTTGAAGGCTGCGTGTACTCTTCTCTTCGCAGATCCGGCGAGCAGGCATTGCTTGCTTGATGTTGCCATAAAGGATAAGGCTCTTCGTCCCATTTGGGTTTATGGGCCTAATGTCCATTCCGAGAAGCCTGCTTTGTTTCGGCAGCTCGTCAGGTAGTTTTAGCGTGGGATTGGAATGCCATCTTTGACCCTGACATAGATCGTATAGGGCAAAATTCGGGTATTGACAACCGAGACGTGAAACCATTTCGGGGCTTTATCGACAGGTTTAAACATCGGTCTCTATATCTGAGATGAGGTATTGTAATTATTTACACTATTTACATTGTTCAGACTGTTGTCCTCATCTTTGTTGCCATATTCACCTTCAAAATCTGTCTCTATTTCTGTGATGAGGTATTGTAATTATTTACAATATTTACATTATTCGGACTGTTATCCTCATCTTTGTTGTCATATTCACAACGTTTCGGCCATTGTACGCTCCTGCTTTATTCTAACCTAACTCCTTATTTCGTCCACCGGGTCAGATTTTTCTATTTCCACGTGCCATACCTCTTTCATGTGTCTCAGTATCCGTTATTTCTCTTTAAATCAACTCTCCAAGTTTTTTTTTCGTAGCCAGGTATTGAACTCAGAACGTTTTCGGCCAAGTCACTGGATTGTTTCAGCCAACGCTTTTATCCACTGGACCATGCATTCGTGGAGAACAGGGATATATCTGATACTAATATATTCGGAAGAGGGACTATTTTCATTGCAACTACTTTCACGAGCTTTTTCCCCTGATGCCCCGAATACATGAATTTAGGCGTGCTACTAGATTGGCATTTAGGTCCCACCCTTTTACTGTTGAAATAGTTAAATGTAACTGCCACTTCTACTCCAACAGTTTCTTTTCTCGCTCTTCCCGCCAGTGGAATTCTCTTCCGTTTAATTGTTTCTCTGAAAATTAAAAAATTATATGTAACGATTGACGTTACATATAATTTTTTCTTAAAAAATTCATATATAACGTCAGTCGCCATCTTCTGTCATCTTGAACCCCGTTCATCTTTTCCCCAATCCCCTCTATTCAGTCTTTTCTCTCACTTTCACTCTATGTAGACCCCCCCTCCCGCGCATACCAGTTGTATTCTCGCCTTGCTTGGGGTGAAATGATTAGAAGAAGTAAAATTGCTTCTCATTTCAATAGTGAGTTGGATCCTCACCAGGTGACCCTCTCGTTTTACTGTACTAATGTAATCTGCATCATCAGATTTTCTTCTCCTTCTTCTTTGTTTTGCGTCTATTCAGGACATTGGCGATCATGGCTCTCCACAACTCTCTACCGCGTGCGGGGCTTACTATTTTCTCCCTTTGCTATGGCCGACGGATCACCATCCATTTGCAGAACCTCTTCAGGTAAGTGGCTCGCTATATTTATCTATCTTGCCCTCTATATGCCCCGTGAAGGTTAAGTTCTCCAAACCTTCCTTCCTCATTTTTTTTTCTAGAAGCCTTACACGGATTCAATGCCTTTCAGTCTGTCTAAGGGGAGAGAAATAAATTCTTTGTAGCTCCCGGAGGTTACGAAGAAAACTGCTTCTAATTAACTCCTGGCAAGGTTGACACTGGGAGTAACAAATATTTACTGTTGCTGTCTGTACAGGTATGGCGGTTTGGGAGAAGGGTTTTTTTTAAGTGTTCACTAAGTTACTATAGTTTTCATCAACTATTCTGACATGCCAGTGACGATATTTTGCTCAAAGCATAGGGAGAGGTGAATATATGCCTTTCCCGGGGGGATTATTGGGCACTTATAAATATTACTATATGATGCAGGGAGAGACGGGTTCAAAACATTCTGAAGGACATCAGTGTGTAGGAACGTAAACTGCTTCATCTCGAATGTCGAGTCTAAACAAACAGTCTTCTATATCCGTGTCAGTATGTATGTGTGTGTGTGTGTGTGTGCGTGTGCGTGTGTGTGTGCGTGTGCGTGTGTGTGTGTGAGAGAGAGAGAGAGAAAGAGGGGGGAAGTATTCTCGTTCAACGGCGCGTGACGTCCGTGCTACATGCAAAAACGTTGAGACGCGACAACAAATAAATATCACTGCTTATTTGAAAACAAAACTCGAGTCTTTTTTCCCGCTGACCCTTCGACGGTGAACGCCACAAGCCGTTTGTTTTGTTCTTTCATGATAAACATTTGCTTTCTGCATTAAAGAGGAGAGCAGAAAGAAAGATGGAGAGTAAGGTGAAACAGTAAGCATGACAACGTGAATAAAATGGAGAATGACGACAGAAGGAATGATGGATGGTGATACTCTAGGTCATCTCATATTTTACAAATCCGCGTTGGCAGGATAGCTACTATCGTCATTCGGTAGAAAGAAGAAGAAGAAGAAGAAGAAGAAGAAGAAGAAGAAGAAGAAGAAGAAGAAGAAGAAAGAGGAGAAAGAGGGACGGGCGCAGAAATCATTCAGTTATGTGTCATGCTTGATACATGCTTAGGCTATCATGTATTTTTTAATACATGACTGACGAGGCAGATTTTTTCCCGCAGTAGGTTGCCATTTCTTTCTGCGGTAGACCAGTTGCAACCCAAGGCTATAGAACCCAGTCTGTCCAGCTATTTACCCATGGCTGGGGGAGAAGAAGTGGATTCATACCTATTAGTACGTAAGTGAATGTAATGGATTCGATTGGAATTCGAACTCGGATCTCCGAGACACAAGGAAATCGATTTAACTGTTATATATAATTTAATACAATTTGCTAAGAGGCCGACAAGTTTAAAAAAAAAAAAGAATTCCTCTGGTAATGGTGTAACTAATGCTTCTCTCTAAATGGCCTGCTATAGGTATTAGAACGTAGGTGAATGTAATGGACTCCGACTGGAATTCGGACAGGTTAGGATTGTAGTGAACAGACGGACATTCTTTTGGGAGTCGGTTCCACAAAGTAGCGGTTCGTGGGAAGAAGCTGCTCGAATAGAACTTACATCTCACCAATGGTATGCGAAGGGAATGAGGGTGTGGGCGTGGCATGGTGGGTATTAACCGACAAGGTTAGATCTGGTGAAGCTAAGAAATGTATGTCATCTGAACACTTTCCATAGAAATAGCGATAGAGCAGCATGCGATGTTTCGTCTATGGTGTTGTAGGATGGGAAATAATTCATCACCCACAAGGACGCGGAGACGCTTTTGATCGAGACTGGAAAGTGAAGACTGGACAGCTCCTGTCCATATATGGCAGTAGTACTTCGTTTTTGGCTCTTGTAAAAGTAGAGGATAGCAGGAAGATTGAGGTAAAGTGAGACGAGCATTTTCCATCATCTTTAGAGATGGATCGTATGCACGAGTTAACCGTCTACGTACCGACCAGGTTCAACGATGCTTAACTTCGGTGATCATAAGCGAACTGGTGTTACAAGGCGATATGGCAGTAATCGCAGAGGAGAAGGAAAACGAGATAGGAAAACAGTCGTGAAAAAAGGCGGAGGAAAATAGGTAAACAGAAAAGTGTTCTGATAACAGAAGGAATAACAAGAGACGGATGGAGGGTTGTGAGAAGAAGAAGAAGAAGGAGGAGGAGGAAGAAGAAAAAAAAGAAGATGAAGATGAAGAAGGAGGAGGAAGAACAAGAAGAAGAAGAGGAGGAGGAAGAAGAACATGAAGATGAAGGAGGAGGAGAAGGAAAAAGAAGGGGAGAAAGAAGAAGAAGATAAAGATGAAGGAGGAAGAGGAGGAAGAAAAAGAAGATGAACATGACGAAGAGGAGGAAGAAGAAGAAGAAGATGATGAAGATGAAGAAGGAGAAGGAGGAGGAAGAAGAGTAGGAGGAGAAGGAAGAAGAAGAAGAAGGAGGAGGAAGAGGAGGAGAAAGAGGAAGAAGAAGAAGAAGAGTAGGAGGAGGAGGAAGAAGAACATGAAGGAGGAAGAGGAGGAAGAAAAAGAAGATGAGGATGACGAAGAGGAGGAAGAAGAAGATGAAGAAGATGAAGAAGGGGAAGGAGGAGGAAGAAGAAGAAGAAGAGTAGGAGGAGGAAAGAAGAAGAAGAAGAAGTAGGATGAAGAAGAAGAAGTACGAGGATGAAGAAGAAGAAGAAGAAGAAGAAGAAACGGTTGTGACAAGAAGAAGAAAAATTTTTGTAAAAAGTTTTGAAAGACGTATGAGACGGGAAATGGTTTGTGAAAAAGAGAATTAGGAAAAGAATGAATTGGAATAGGAACGAAGAAGGAGAGAAGCCGAGAATAGGTTATGAAAAGGAAAAGAAAGTTAAGCTTACTGAAATCGGGTAACAAAACTACTAAAGAAAACAAAGATGTAATAAGAGAAAAAAAATATGACCAGTCATACAGAACACAGGGTAAAAGAACTCTAGACGAGTCAATGGCCAATTTTCTCACTAGAGGTGATGTCTCAATAAATCACCGTGGAGAAGACAACGGGAAAACACTCCAATATATTTCCCAAGAAAAAGCAAATCATGTAATATAACGGCGTTAAGTGGGTTATGAGTATTGGAATTATCTACTCACCAGATAAGGAGGGATACGTGCAACAGGTGTCACCTGACCGTCTTTCTGCGACTGTTATCCAAACCTTCCTGGTAAGAGGAGATATGAGTGAATTTGGTAGGTTGTAGAGTATTCCATAAGAAATTATACGAGCGAATATTTCTTCAGAATATTACGATTAAGTATCGCTCTACGATAAGAAGGTTATACATACATTTACTTAACAGATTTACACCTGATGGAAGATCTAATGCCCGAGATCCTACCAGAAAGCGAATGCCTACGATTCATCGCTTAAATTTAGCTTAGTTGAGGACTACAAATGTTGGGCATGCATTGCTGATTGACTCAGTCGGAAGTCTCTGCCGAATTGGCCCGTTATCCAATGCTATACGGCAGTTGTCACTTATATTTTATCTTGTCATAGCTTTGCCTAGGACCAAACCATAAACGTGAGGTACACGGTGAGGATTGAACTCGCTAATAGAATATTCTGATAAGAATTGCTCTCCCCAACAAAAGCCTAAACAGAAAGACTAAATATAATGTTTAGACAGTGGAAATAGAATAGTCTATCCCCCGTAGATTAAATAAAGTGTCCAGTTCGGGATTCCCCGTAGGTTACTTGGATTGGCATACACCTGATGAAGAACGGAGAGCACAGCGGTCGAAACTTTATGATAACAAAAATGAGGACAATAGTTCGCATGTAAATAGAAAGTGTGTATTTGTACGTTCGTGTATGTGTGCTGTCGTGTGTGATGTAAAAGGCATGAGTTGTAATAAAATAAAACCTCGACACACGGTAAATAAAAAAAAACTTTTCAGCCCACCCTCGTATGTTAGATCGACACAATAAGCGAAAGTCAGTGAAATCCTGTTTCGCTAAAAAAATAAAAAAAGAAACACAAATAAAAGCAGTTATTTTGTACAATGTACTGTCAAAGTGACTTTACGTGCTTGACGACGAAGACTGACTTGCTTGATGCAATTCTTCTCGGCTGCCTGGTGGCTCCAAGCAATCAAACACCTTAAAACAACCCACAAAAAAGAAGGAAAAAAAAGCAAAATGACTCAGAGATGGAACCATTTGAAAGTGACATCAAACGAACTTTCTTCAAAGACAGATCTAATTTTCCTTCAGTTCTTGATCACGCATCTGTTTCTTCATTCTGGAGACACGAGATTTGAAATTGGTATCACTTTCTCAACAGAAAGGAAGCATGACATTCGCATCAGAATTCCAATATGCTTACAAAACTCATGAATATTTACACATCATCACACATGCAAATCTGTCACCGTGCTTCCACGATAAGCGAAAACTGGTCGGCCCGCCGCAGCAACAGTTATAGAGGCCCCAATGTATCTTGAAGCATTCCATGTGGGTGTTTTGTTATCTTTGGTGTGAAATATTTTGAAGGCGTTCTCCTGTTATGTGATTAAATTTTAAATGGCGCTACACGACGAACACACAGAATTTGCGTGAAGACTTCAGGTAACCAAAAAAAAAAAAATCGTTATCAGCTAAAAAAAAAAAAAAAAAATGGAACAGGCAATTCGAATTAGATCCTTTTTCTGATGGAGCGAAAACAATATCTTTCTTAGAATCTATCTATCTATCTATCTATCTATCTATCTATCTATTACAAAGTCTGTTTCTATATTTCTATTCATAATAATGTCTATTCTTTCTGTCTATTCATAATCTATCTATCTATCTATCTATCTATCTATCTATCTATCTATCTATCGTTTACAAAGTCTGTTTCTATATTTCTATTTATAATAATGGCTGTTTTTCTCTATTCATAATCATCTATCTATCTATCTATCTATCTATCTATCTATCTATCTATCTATGTGTGTGTGTGTGTGTGTGTGTGTCGTATGAGGATCAAATACAGATCAAATATGTATCAGAATTCGACAGAATGGCAAAATAAAGAACAAATAGGAAATGTTTATCACTCTAACGTGCTTTATTTTTTTTTATTAAATCTTCATCAGAGAATGAGATATGGACAAAAAACAAAAAACAAAAAACCCCAAAAAATGAATTCTGGTATTATTATTTTGCGTTATTTGATTTTCATTAGATAATCAGGTTTCACGTGCATTCGATTTGTTAAACAAATAATTTATGGGCTTCCGATTTCAAGGAGAGACAACGCGTCCTTTCGAAGTTTCAAGAATTAACGCATTCCAAGACTAACTGAAAAACTGTAAATATTGCTTTATGTATGTAAGTGTATAATATTAATGTGTATATGTGGGATTCAGATGATATATATATTCATAAGTCTGTGCGTGTGTATGTCTGTGCGTGTGTATGTCTGTGTGTCTGTGTAGCACTCATGTTTGGTGGTTTTCGCAATGTTGATTCCAGAATGTTTTTACATCTGTACCGTTTGTCTTAGATAAACATACGTCATATTTTTTCAGAATGGATTGATTAAAGATTGGTACTGTAATATAATATTTTGACATTTGGTTTTAGTTGGTAATATAATTATTAGTAATCTGTCGAAGTACGTTCGATGTAAAGAATTATGTTCTTTTTAATTAGGGGGGCAATTGTAAAATCAAAGTTATGGCCACTTCCCTGTCGAAACTATTAAATGTTGCCGTCTCTTCTACTCCAATAGCTTCATGTCTCGCACCTCTCGCCTGTGGATCTCCCTCCCCTTTTCTTGTTTCCCTGATAGCTATAATCTCCACCTATTCAAATGTAATGTCAATCGACGTCTCCAGATGCTTTGATCTATCTCCTATCCTCTTCATCCTTTCCTCTATCATTCCTATTTGCTCTCGCCTCAACTCTCTGTAACCCCTTGCGTAACCCCTTGATTCCCGCCTTGTTTGGGGTGAAACGCTTAAAAAAAGTTCTGTTTCTATGTATTGCAAGCAAGTTTAAATGCTTTTTAAAACGTAAATCCTTTTTTATTTTCGTAGATTCGGGATTTTATATTTCGAGATGTCTCGCCAATATAACTGCTTTTACATTGTAAGATATTTATTTGATAAATACCAGCATTTGAATTGATGTTGGATTTATTTTTTCCTAATTATTATCTAATATTGTATTGGAAGTAGTGGTAAAGATCCCACCTTTAAGGATAACTAAGTTAGTTACAAATTTTGTAGAAAGTGTGTTAGAGAGTAGAATTATGAATTTTGTGTTTTTAATATTGGAAGAGCTAGGACACAACCGATAACATTTCTAAAATCAAGAACACAAAATTCGAAATAAAACAAAAAACCAAAAAATCAAAACAATAACAAGATAATCAGTGAGTTATCTGCCCTTGGTATGGACACCGAAATAAGACCAGTCTGCCTTTTAGAAATCGTTGAGCAGAGTTCGATTTCCAGTCGAATCCATTACATTCACTTATGTGCTAATACACTCGGGAAAAGTATGAATCCTCTTCTCCCCACCCCCAGTAGGACAGACCAGGTTCTATAGCCTTGGATGGCAACTGGTCTACCGCAGAAAGAAATGGCAACCAACTGCGAGAAAAAGATCCGCCTCGTCAGTCATGTATCGAAAGAGTATCTATGCGTGTATCACACATGACACATAAATGACTGACTGACTGCCTTCGTGAATTGAACAAATGTTCCAATTTGAAATTCCAAGTATCAGTGTCATTTGACAAAGTCTGAAAGGTAAAACGTCTGAAACGTTGTAACCATAACAACAAAACTATTCGAAGAAATTAGTGTATACTACTACTAGTAGTACTACTAATATTATTACTAATTAACTATCTCAGAAATTCAGAGAGAAATGAATTCAAATCTTCTCAATTTACTCCATATCCGCTGATTGGCCACGGCAGAACATGATTTCATTTACAAGTGGATGATGTTCGATATTGCGTCTTTAACGGGTGAATTATTGACCTTTTCTATGACATTTCCATGTGTAATGATCAGCATTTGATTCTCAAATAAGACAGAAAATGCGAGACAATTTCGCGCCCGTATTAAGAGCCTCTCCTCCTGTTGCTTTTGTACTTAATGAACTCTTTCGCTGATATGCATCCACTCTTTCACTGCTGCACAGCTTAAAATCTTTAATCAAAAGTTGAAATTAAGACACCTGCCTTTTTTTATTGATATAATTTAACGTCTTCAAAAAATATGATGCATAAAAAGAAATAAAAAAATACGTTTGTGTGGATCTCAAAAAAAGAAAATGTCCGACATGAGGAAGTATATTATTGTTATTATTATTATTAATAATAATGTTCTTGGACATTGGGCACCGCAATTACAAAGATGCTTGCCGAAAAACTTTATCTTAGGGAAATACCATGGTTGAACGTTTTGAAATATAATCTCTCTTTTTCTTTCTCGTTTTGAAATATAATCTCTCTTTCTCTTTCTTGTTTTGAAAAATAATCTCTTTTCTCTTTCTCTGTCTCTCTCTGTCTCTGTCTGTCTGTCTGTCTCTCTTTATATATATATATATATATAGTTAAACCTAGAGAGCGAGACAAACCTACCAAGGTTTCACCTAAGTTTAGGTTTAACTAGGCCAGCTCTACTTACCGTATTGAGCACTTTATTTAGTTGTTTTGGGTACTCATATCGGGTTTTTTCTTCTTTGGTCTTTGAACTCGCATGCTGGACGATTATTTTCGGCTAACGTACATGTTCTTTGTTCTTTCTTTTTTTATACCTTTTTTCCCATTGGTATTGGTTTGATTATTTGCAAATCAAGACACCGAAGGTTTTACGAACGAGTGTAGTTTCTTATACCTATAGGATTATTACTACTAGTACTATATATATATATATATATATATATATATATATATATATATATATATATATATATGTGTGTGTGTGTGCGTGTGTGTGTGTGTGAATTTTGAAATGAATTTACTTCAGCCATTTTCCCCAATTATCTAGCGCCAACTAAATTCTTATTGTTGTTGTTGTTGTTGTTGTTGTTCTTCTTCTTCTTCTTCTTCTTCTTCTTCTTCTTCTTCTTCTATGTGCCATGCCCTTCAGGTCATGGGCGACCATGGCTCGCCAAAACTTTGTATCCCTTTGTGCCTTTGTTAGTGTTTCTAGTTTTTTTTAAAGCCAAACTCTCCATCCGCGTTCACCATCCGTTCATGCAAACTCGTCGGGTAGGTGAATCGCAACCTCCCCCTATATCTCCCGCCCTTTATATGTCCCGTAAGAGTTAAGTTTTCAATCTCCTCATTCCTCATTATGCATCTAAGGAAAAAAAATCCTCTTTGTTTACTCGTTTCGTCCATGAAATTCTCAGTATCCTTCTGTAGAATCGCATTTAGTCAATCGAAATGACTCACATTGGAAAATAGTAGTTTAGCGGACTATTATTTTTTAAAGGAAGTGTATCGCTACTCCGAATTCCTGGGTTGATTTTTGAGGTCAGATGGAAGATAAAACAAGGAATGCGATTTTGGTTGGCTGAGACAGCGTGAGAACGATAGCTAGAGAAAGGGATTTTCGAAGAGTTGAATTTTAACTGTCAAACAATGAAGACGTGTGTTTTTCATGTCTGAACACGGCTCCCCAGTCGAGGGTTAGCGCCCCAATGGATATTAATAAAATACATACATCGACGTTAATAAACTAGCTAAGTTAAAATCTCACGCATCATTTCATTTATTAAACAGTATATTTATTTATTTTCGTCTACCGCCTTGAATAAGATTTCTCGAATATTCAGAAATAATCTTAAAGTGATAAAGCCAAATGGAATGTAAATGATGCCCATTCTTCTTCAAATATATCGATAAAGCACACCGAAATTTAAAAGAATGTATGAAGATAAAATTCACCAATAATGAAACAGACTCAATGCGCATGCGTACCACTGAAATTTTCACGATGACAATTTTCCCTTAGCAAAGGTCTTTTTAATAAGGCTTGAATATAGCTTATTCAACCAAAAATGCATTGATAGTGTCATGATCTATGGAATCACAACGATTAGTGAACTATTCCTTTTCTTACTAAATTAGGATTGAAAAAAATGGTGGGATACTTAAATAATGCAATAAAATTATATAACC